TTCATTCACAGGATGAGGGCACTGCTGGTCAGCCAGCATTTATTGCCTGTCCAGTGGTTAAGAGTCAAGCACAGTGCTGTGGGTCTGGAGTCACATGTAGGCCAGACCAGGTAAGGATGGCAGTTTCCTTCCCTAAAGGGCATTAGTGAACCAGATGGGGTTTTCCCAACATTTAACAATGGATTCATGGTCATCGTTAGACTCTTAGTTCCAGACATTTATTGAATTCAAATTCTGCCATCTGCTATTGCAGGATTCAAACCTGGGTCCCCAGAACATTATCTGGGTCTCCGGATTAACAGTCCCAGTGATAACTCCATTAGGCCATCGCCTCCCCTAGCTGGTCTGAATCAAATTGGTGCTAACAGCAGAGCTTTCAGTTGGTATCCTGGCAGGAATTTGAGAACTGCCTCCTTACCCTACTGATGGTGGAGATCATGATTAGAATCCCATTTAGGCAGAGAATTGAGAATTGGTGTGAAAAGCTTGGTGTCTGGCTAGAAAGCTGGTGTCTGGTGGAGAGGAGAAATCAGTCAATTCGCACTTACAAGCCACTGATTTTGGAATTCCCAAATATGTGGATGGTAAATGTGCAGCAGCCTGTCTAATTCCCCATCAAACTTTTAATGAAGACAAATCAAACTTAACATTGAGAAACTCATGCAGTCACGTGTTTTCATTCAACACAATCTCATTCCTCATCAATATCCATAAAGGCTAATGTTGGGCTTCCTGCCTGGTGAGGTTGCAAAGAATTCCTGCATAACTCCAAGGCTTTTGGATCAACGTTGACCTTTAGCACAGACTGACCCTTTGGAAGAAGGCTCAGCTGAAGAGGATGTTTACTCATTCCAAAGTACCTCAAGGTTATCAGTGGAGATTTCACTTTCCGTCACAATGGGCTGAAGGGCCTTCTTCTCCGTCATTATGACCCTTTGAATCCATATCAGTCATCCCAAAGCACCACAGAGAATCACCAAATTTTACAGTACAGAAGGAAGCCATTCCACCCATTGTGTCCATACCTGCTCCCAAATGAGCTTCCCAGCTAGTCCCACTCTCCAGCCCTATCTCCATAGCCCTCTAAATTCATCCCTTTCAAATATATATCCAACTCTCTTTTGAAACCTTCAATGGAATCCGCCTCCAGTACTCTCCCAGGCAGCGTATTCCAAATCCTGACCAACTCACTGAGTAAAGAAGATTCTCCTCATCTCACTCCTAACTCTCTTGCTGACATTCTTGAAATTGTGACCCCTAGCTACTGACATACCAACCAATGGAAACAGAATATCTTTCTTTACCCTGTCAAAACTGTTCATAATTTTGAACACCAAAAAAGATCACCTCTTAATCTTCTCTGCTCCTAGGAGAATAAGCCTGATTTCTCTAATCTTTCCTTGGTGACTAAAACCCATCATTCCTGGTATCAGTCTAGTAAATCTCTTTTGCACTCCCTCTAGGACTTTAACATCCTTCATTAAATAAGATCTCCAGGACTGGACAAAATACTCTAAGTGTGGTCTGACCAATGATTTGCAGAGGTGTAGCGTCACTTCCTTGCTTTTATACTCTGCCTCTATTTACAAAGACAAGGATCCTATAAACCTTCTTAATAACTGTTTCAACTTGCCTGGTCACCTGCAGAAAATCGTGTGAACGAACCCCGAGGTCCCTCTGCTCCTGTACTTCCCTCAAAGTTGTACCCTTGAGTCTGTATTGTCTCTCCATGCTTCTTCTACCAAAATGCATTAACGTCATATTTCTCTGCATTCAGTTTCATCTGCTGGGTGTCTGCCCATTTGGCCAATTTGTCAACATCCCTCTGAAGACACTCAGCATCATCCTCACAACTCGCGACTCTCCCCAGCTTAGTACCATCTGCAGATTTAGAACATTTGCCGTCAACGTCCATCTCTAATAGCAGACTCTCTTGTCAGGTGCACAGACAGGAGATTCTGCAGCATGAACCTAGGGTAGGAACTGCTGATGCTGGAGTCTGAGACAACACAGTGTGGAGCTGGATGAACACAGCAGGCCAGGCAGCATCAGAGGAGCAGGGAAGCTGACGTTTCAGGTCTGGACCCTTCTTCAGAAAAGCATGGACGTCTCGGAGTGGTTGCAGCATGTCGTCAAAGGGGAGAGTGAGAAGTCAGCAGAATGACACAATTAGGGAAAGGGTTGAGGCTTTGCAGAGTGAATGTGGTGAGTTAGGTAGAAGTTTCAAGAGCAAAACCTCAAAAGGCAATAATCGCTGGATTATTCCCAGTGCCATGTGCTATTGAGAGTAGGAATAAGAAGATAGGGCAGATAAATTAATGGTTGAGGAGACGGTGCAGTGGGCAAGGATTCAGAGTTTTGGATCATTGGGGTCTGTTCTGGTCAGAAAAGGCCTGTTCAAAAGGGTTGGCTTTCACCTGAACTGTTCATTGTATTCTGTGCATTTACACAGATACACCTTAACCCTACCCATCTCTTTCTTACCCATTGGAAGACAATCATTTCTTTGTTCACTGACAATGCTCAAACCTTCCCTCATTTCCTTTTCCCCGTTCCGCATCTCTCTTTTGACCTCTCTGGTGCTGTGTCCAAAAGTAGGCCCTCATTAGTCATTCCAGCCCCCTGCCTTAGAAGTTTAAATCCACCCCCACTTACTCTCTCAACCAGGGGATTGGTTCCTTTTCTGCTCAGTAGCAGCCAATTTACACACAGCAAACAGCAAATATGATCATATCGAATCACAGACGTTTACAGCGTGGAAACAGACCCTTCCGCCCAACTTGTCCATGTCGCCCTGCTTTCACAATTAATCTAGTCCCATTTGCCTGCATTCGGTCCCCATCCCTCCATACTTATCCCATCCATGTACCTGTACAAATGTTAATCTTTGAGCAATGTTGATTGAGGGATAAATATTAGCTAGGGAGGAATGCCAACAAAATGTTGAACACCGATGTGGAACAAAAGGATCAATATTGATATAAACGTACCTCCTGAGCAAAGTGTATTGGGGTCTCCATTCCTCACATCTTGACGTCGAAATCGCCTGTGAAGATACGCAAATATTAGGAAGGCTTGGCCTGTTGTATACCGAAGCTCCTCGCCTAATTCATTACAATCTGAGATGCAATGACTGTTACTTTGGAAAATGGTGAAGCCAGTTTTCCCACACGATCGCACAAACCATTTAATGCATAATTGATCAACTCAGGATTGGTGGTAAGAGGGACCAGTAGGAATTGTCGCCAGGCCAAAAGGACGACCTCCTCCACTTCTTCCAAAAACACCATGGGATCAGAACAGTCCATCTCCACCGTCAACCAGACCAAAACGAGCCCCACACAGTGGGATCCCTCAGTGCTGCATTTACATTGTGCAGTTTAACTTTGAAATGAGTTTCCAACACTCAAACCTGCATCAATAACTGAGGCAACCTCATACATTTCAGCAGTGAAAATGTTTTTTTCCAATACAGCACCCAGGGTTGGGACCTGGTTCCTTTTTTCAGTCTGTTTGCAAATCACAGTTGTAGAGTCGTACAGCACAGAGACAGACCCTTTGGTCCAACTCGTCCATGCCAACCAAGTTTCCCAAAATAAACTAGTCCCATTTGCCTGTGTTTGGCCCATATCCCTCTAAACCTTACCTATCCATGTACCTGTCCAAATGCCTTTTAAATATTGTAACTGTACCTGCATCTACCACTTCCTCCGGCAGTTCATTTCATACATGAACCACCCTCCATGTGAAAAAGTTGCCCCTCAAGTCCCTTTTAAATTTTTCCCCTCTCACCTTAAAAATATGCCCTCTAGTTTTGAACTCTCCTGCCCTAAGAAAAAGATGTTCGCTATTCCTCTTACCTCTGCCCCTTATGATTTTATAAACCTCCTATCTCCAGTGAAAAATGCCCCCAGCCTATCCAGCCTCTCCTTATAACTCAAAGCCTCCATTACCAGCAACATCCAGTAAATCTTATTGGCGCCCTCTTGAATTTATTAATAGCCTTCCTATAGCAGGGCGACCAGAATTATACACAGTACTCCAAAAGTGGCCTTACCAACGCCCTGCACAGCCGCAACATGATGTCCCAACTCCTTTTCTCAAAAGGTCTGAGCAATGAAGGCCAGCATGTTAAACACCTTCTTAATCAGCCTGTCTACATGTGATGCAACTTCCAAAGAACTATTTACCTGAACTCCTAGGTCTTTCTGTTCAAGAACACTCCCCAGAGCCCTACCATTAACTGTATAAGTACTGCACTTGTTCGTCTTACTAGTTGGGATCACTGGTCTGGTATTGTTAAACACTGTGGCACCAACTCTCATATGCAAGTCTGCCTGCCTGTTTTAAACTGACAGTCATCCCAAGGTTGTGAGGACCACTAGCCCAACTCCTGAAGCATCAGGAGGATGGAGAACTGTAAACTTCAACATTGCTCATCCCTGACATTCGGAACTGGTTCAAGAGAAAAATGTGGGACCAACGTCAAGAAATTCTTTACTGAGAGACGAACAACAAGCTCAATCATCCAATGAGGCCCTACAGTTCTTCCTCTGCTCCAGATCAGTATCCGACCTCTTCCTGAAAGAATTACAGGGTTTTGGACTCAGCCACCCAACTCAGAAGCAACCTTGGAATAATTTAAGCTGGATGATGTAGTGAGATGTCTTTCTGAATGATGGTCTCTGGATGGGGGAATATGACCTCTTTCATTAAGTGCTTTGTGATAAAATGATGACCACGATGGCAGGATGACCATGGAATCCTTGAGCACAGAAAGCTGTTGAGGCCAAAACATTGAAGGAGTTAGTTTTTGTTCCTAGAGGGAGCAAAGGGCATGCACTAAGTTGGGTGATCAGCCATTTGAATGGCAGAGCAGGCTTGAAGGGTTACTCTTGCTCCTATTTTCTATATATTGAAGAGATCCTCCCTCTCTCTCTATTTACCTTTTGGTATTCGCTAGGTATCTGGTGCAGCTGTTTCCATCCCAGGCACAGTAGGGATCTCGGGCCAGACAGCACTCAGCGCATGCTTTCCCATAGATACTGCAATGTTGCAAAGGCAGCTGGGAGATGGCTGTATCTGAGCCAATGTATAGTTGTTGCTGTTTAAAAACAAAACGTACACAAAGAGGCAGATATACATAAAGATTAAGGGATGAGAACAACTTATCTTCATTTATGAACGATCCTGATAATTTCACAACATTTCTGTGAAGAAATTACAGCAGAAACAAAAATCAGACATTCCCTGCAATGATTTCATGGTCAAATTAGTTATTATCAAGTTTCTTGCTGCTCAGAAATGCTTAGTTCCTGGGAATTAAATGTCAACATTCCATTCAGGCACCTGTTCATGATCTCCGTATAGACTGATACTTTTTATAGAAATAAATTCAAAAGTCCAACTAATGGCTGAAAAGATGACACAATTTCACGTTTTAAGATGTCTGCTGCAACAAAAGACTAAAAGCACTATTGGTTAAACATTATCTTCGGTGGAAATCAGTTCTTTAAACCATGGAATGGAATGCCTTCCTTTTTTTTAGCATAAACAAGTGATCTACAGTGACAAAACCCACCTACATCATGAAGATTCAACTCCTCTTTACTCAGTTGCAACCAGATTACCACCTTCAATGGCTTCCTGGCTAAGATCCTGTCAAAGTTGTAGCAGACGTTGACTGGAATTCTGATGTTCAACGTCCAGAATCTTTGCAGACTAATAGCCAAGATTCTGACCCTTTCCTGCTTCATCTCAAACCTCTCAGACAATTTAGCTCCCATACCTCACATTATGGCACTTGCCAATTGAGAGAAAATTCTTTGAGGGCTTAGAATCTCAAAATAAAAGTTCTCTACTCACTCGTTTTGATGAGAGTTGCATACTGGTTATAGGTGCAGAGTCCTGCAACAGAAGAGATCGATGAGGTTAGTACATGGCTTAGAGGTGAGGGAGTTCCTCAAAGCCACTTCGGATGTGAAATTAGCTTTCAATGCCAGGATATTAAATAGATTCCAATTGGAAAGTTGTGTAGGATATTTGGGTCAAACACAGGAAGTTGTGTCGTATGTGCACAGCATTTGGAGGGGATATGTCCAGTGTATTACCATGAAACCTTTGAAAAATAGCCTGGGAATGTTAAGATTTACCTAACTGTTTCATAAGCAAGCTACAAGCTCCAATGG